CCTGAGTTAGATCCCCCTGTACCAAAAAAAAAAAAACAAAAAAAACAAACAAACACTAACATCACCTATTAATATACAAAGACACAGACAATTAGAGATCACTCTTCAATTACTGAACAAAGGCACAAATATCCAACATTGGAGGATATAGATTCAAAACCAAGGCTGATTCCAATGTCTGTGATATTTTTGTGTATAATCATGTATTGTTTACTTTCTTTCCATAGATGCCTCGTTGTTACTTAACAGAATTTAGCCTGCAGAAGTAGGATCATGCCTGCTGTCTTTTGGGAATAGTGTTCATTTTTTACAATGGCATGTGAATAATCTTGAGGAAAAATGGGGCTTTTTAGTTCTCCAGAAACTCCATAAGAATGAATGGGAGGGGGGTAGAAAATCTGATACTAAAAGCATTCATTTTTTATCACTTATCCTAAATTACACTGAAACTATTCAATACTTTTGAAGGGTCAGAAAATATATCACAGAAAAAAATCGCTTCAATGATTACTTTAACGTACAACCTTAGCTTCATGGCATTTCCCTCATTTTCTCAGGGGAAGGTTATTTCTCCAACTTGTTTCTTTTTTCGGGGAGGGTACTGGGGATGAAACTTGGGCCCTTGCACTTGGGAGGCAGGCAGCGGCACTACTGAGCTAAATCCTTATCTCTCCAACTCATTTCTTTTCAATTAATTGCTAGGATTTCAATCTCTTTAGCCCTTTTGCATTAGAAGAACAGGTCTGATATTTTTTTCTCAACGTGAGGGATTTGAATTTATCACAATTCCTCCACTTATCAACTTATAAAACTGAATTTCAAAAAGCAAATGGTTTTTAGGAAAGTTCAAAATCAAAGTATTGCCACCAGCATCATAGCCTTGATGTTGGAAAAGGAAAGGTTCAATTTGTTACTTATGCTTACTTTCAAAATATATTGGTAGAAAATGGATCTTTATAAACTTTTGAAAGGAATAAAAAAGCACCGAGAAAGGCATAGGTTGCATTTTATTTCTAAGAGTGACTTGTCTTCTGTGATATTTGTTGGCTATTCCCATGAGGGCATCAAATGATATAAATGGGTCTGCTGAAGTTTCAGGTTTTTCTGTTTTTTGGTACTGAACTTGGGTTCTTGTGCTTGTGAGGCATGTGGCAGAACCACTGAGCTAAATCCCTGGCCCTCAGTTATTTTATAGCCCAAGTGATTTCAGGCAAATGTGCACTTCCAATCAGAACTGCAACTCAATAAAGTCAACATAGTACAGGTAATATTTCATTTAGGTCTTCTGGCTGCCTGACCCATCACCCGTGCACTCCATCAAGGTGCAACACTTCCTGTCAGAGCAGATTCTGATATATCTACAGCTCTGCAATTTTGGTCATGAAATTTCTACTTTAGAAAAATAAGCATTTACTAGAGTTAAAAGATATTAACATCATTTTATTTAACGGAAGACTGTTACAGCTTCCAAGCCGCCACACGTGGATCGAATGAGCACAGAGCACTTACCTCCAAAAAGAGAGTACAATTTCTGAGAGCTGAGAAAATTTTTGAAAATTATTTTGCAGAATAAAGGGAATATATGTCTCACAACACTTATATTTCTTCCTCCATTTTTTTCTTAATTGGAAATAGTAGGTACAGTAAAAAAATTCGAAGATATGGAGATGTAGATTTACCTTTACTAGCTAGAAGTCAGGCATGCCATTTTACTTTTGGTTTTATTCTAAGAGCAGAGGTTGACTAAAATACCTTCAAGCCCTAAGGTTATGTGATTGTCTTATGCTTACCTTATTTTAATGCTATTTAGAGTTAGCATAGGAAAGTCAATTGCTATAATCTTATTCCAACCTGAACTTTTTTTTTTACTTCAATATTTCAGTGACTTTTCTCTGCCAGAGGCTTGTTAGTAAAGTTTTTTTCAACTTTCAAACTTGATCTTCTCTCCTTGAGATAGGAGATTAGGGTGTGGCAAAACTGGCTGGGAAAGTAGGTGTGACCTGTTAATTACAAGATCCCAGAACACATGTGCAGTACAGTTCCCCAAAGCCCTAAATGTGGACTACACCTGATGTCAGCCTGAGGTGTGGGAGCCCAGCACTGCCTCTCAGGATCTATATGTAGAAGTTCTGGAAGATTTCTTCAAGATTTGGACAACATAAAAAGGACACAGACACCAAGAGCTTACTATCATGGATTTTATCATGAGACCACTTTGTGCCTTCCAGAGTGTCCTTTTATCTTGCTTTTCCTCTTTTATTTGGCACAAGCTACATAGCCAGTTTCCCTCTCTCTTTTACTCTGTTCTTACTCAGCCCAAGCTTGCCCTGCAGAGTCAGTTTCTCCCTCACTTTTACTTTCTCAAATAAACTTTGCCACTCTTCTTTGCTTGTTTTGTTCACTTCGTTTGAGACAAGAAACTGGAATTTAACTCCAGAAGGAGAGGTGAGCAACTCAAACCCTGTAAAATTAATCTTAAGTGCTTTCCCATAACAAAATATTATCTCACTATTTAAATTCAGGGAAAGTAACTTAAGTAGTAATTAATATTAATATACTCCCACCTCAAACCAACCACTCTTATACATACTTTGTATATGTGAAAGCATTTAATACTCTGAGAACTCTGTGAAATAGGTATTTATATCTTTTACTAACTCCATTCAGTTCCGAAATTCAATGGTTTGAAGCCAAATAGAGTTGAGGAGGTCTGAATGGCCAGGGAAACTGAAGAGCCTAAATCCACTTTAGGTTCCCACTTAGAATGAAAAAGACCTGACATTAACTAGCAAGTGATGTCATTTAAAAGTACAAATGCCTTCCTTGCAATAACAAGAGCATAGAGAATTCACAGTAATAGTTATCTATAAGAGATAATGCCATTATCTGGTAAACAGGTAACAGGGGAGGAAACAGAAGCACAGGTAAGTTAAGGAAAATGTCTAGGATTTCAGGGCAAGTGTCAGAGCCACAAGCTTATACAAGTATCATGGCTGCAGAGTGAAACCTTGCTTTTCTCCTGTGTGGCCATCTAAGCATGCTGTTCTGTAGATCTTCTGAGAATGTTTTTAAGGAGATGAGTTACTGGTATTACCCTATTTTTTTACAGGGCTCAATTTATCAACATTTTGATTATATTTTAATAATATTTTTAAAAATATTTAAGTATTTAGTTTGATTAAATATTTTAATAATTATTTTAATTATAAAAAATTTGATAATGAAACTTGCTTTTTGTATAGATTAACAGTCTAATTATATGATTTATAGAACCATCCACTGAAGAACTGTCTTGAATGTACACTGGAGAGAAATAAGTGATGTACTTTATAGGAAAAGCTGTCTTCTGCACATTAACCCAGGCCCTGTAACTTGAGTTCTTGCTCTGGGCAGTTTCTTTCATAATCTCTGAAAATTTAGAGCATCTTCTAATCATTGCTTGTTCTAAACTAATCATGCTTGTAAAAACTGATTCCCAAAGCCAGTTAGATTTACACTTGCACCTAGCTTTCCAAAATTTCGTATTTAATGACTAATGTCAATGATAATTCTCCTTTAGAGCACAGCCAGCATACTCTTGAAATCATATAAAATCCAAGTCCTCTGCATTTAAATGAGTTGCTCTGATACAAGTTTGCTGACTGCTGTTCAACTACTCAACTAGAAGATAAGCTCATGCTTACATCTAAATCTTATTTGTGAAGGTGATAGGTAGTATCTTTATAAATTTTAGAGAAAAATAACACACTTGATTTCTAAAATCTATTTACACTTTCACATAACAATAAGGTTAGACACCCCCCCCCACACACAACCGCCCCCCACATGAACTAAAATTACAAACAGTAACAGTAATAAAATATACCTTGTTGAAGCCCTTCCAATAAGAGCCATTGCTGCACTTCTAAGCACAATATCTCTCTCTGTCAGCATGTGGTGAAAGTCCAAAGGTCTGTGGCAATGCCAGGCAGTCCAAGAAGCCACATAGTGCATAGTCTTGGAGTGCCACTTCAAGGATAGTAAATGTGTCATTTTAGGAATTTGTACCACAAAAAATATATGAGGTTTGAGACTGCAAGAAGAGACATAAAATGTCAAGGTGAAATTTCCAAATATGCAGCCGATATCCCTCATGATCATAGATGCTCAGATGAGAAGCACCTTAGGAGACCTGCATTTGGAAGATTTAGGTTTAATCATGATTCTATCACTTATACCATCACTTACCAGCCCTGTGACCTAGGATGTGACACTTGACCTTTTTCTAAGCTGTAGTCTCTTTATTTGTGCAAAGAGGAAATGAGATTGTATGATCTTTCTGGTTCTTTTGAGATCCAATAGACTTCTGCTTATATTTTACACCAGTGACTAATTTGTCTCTAGCACTATTTCTATAGATGTTTACTCAGCATAGAGGTTTCATACCATTGTGAAATACCTTTGAAGATCCCAAAGAACCATCCAAATCTAAGCCATTAATATTGCACTTATAAAACAATACATCTCACCAATGAAAGCTCATTAACCAATACTTCCATACATAAGACGCATACCATAAGAAGCAGTTTAATATGTAGTTTTCATCAAAATTCCTTTTTTCCTCTTCTATGGCCTCTGGCCTATCAAATATCCAGAGATGATTGTAGAGTTTACTAGGCATCCTCATAAATATTAATGTTTTTTTTACTCTTAATTCAAATAATCTCAAATATTTTCCCTTCTTAAGAAATATATTCTTAGGTGACATTAGTGGATCTGACTGAAAGAGTCAATGGTTAAAAAGTCTCTTAAGCATGAACAGAAACGCTATAACAGATATCACTCACACACTTATAAAAACTTTAAAAATAAGCTTGTGTTGTCACATAAATTTTAAAAATATAACATTTGTGTATCACAAACGATTAGCAAAATCTATTATCTGACAATTTAAATATCACTCTCAAAAATCTTCTTTCACTGAGCATTTAGAGAAAATCAGGCCAGTGCTGGACAGAAGATAATTTAAAAAGGGTATTTTTAATTTGAAAGGCAAAACACTTCATAGAGATCTATTTGAAGGTTATGAAATAGCGCTTGTAAACACATGAAGTCTGTAAACCAAGCCATCTCTTTCATGACTGATGATGACCCCATAAATTACTGGGAAGCAGAGCCTACAATTTAGGGATTGGCTTGGCCGCCATCGCTATGCTTTCGATTGCGCACTCGTCAGCGCCTCTGAGGATCCGAAAGTAGCCATTCTCACCCCAGCTTGTGCCCCAGCTGTTTTTCACAATCCAGTAATCCATCCCATTGGCCGAGTCAGTGCCATAGCCCACAAGCAGCACAGCATGATTCGTCAGCTCAAAGGGGTTGAAAGGGTCTCTCAGCCCAGTGTGGTGGTAGATCCCTTTGTGATAGTGCATAAAATCATCATAGACTTCAAAGGCGACTGCCATAGGTCCGTGTTGGACCAGCTCCAGCTTCATCAGGGCTTCATTGCATCCCCCGTAGAAACCTCCCACGTAGTGGTACTCAGAGGTGTAGTAACGCATACAGTCCTCTTTTACTTTGCAAGGAGCATCAGTGCCTGTGTAGGGGAAGCAGGATTCTTCCACAAAACCAAAATCTTGGGCATACTTTCCCGCGATGAGGTACGGGAAACCACCTTCACAACCTGAATATGAATAAACATGCAATGGCTTATTAGAAAAGAGCACATCAGAAATTGTACCACTTCTTTTTTCTTCTCTGATCCATTATTTTTTATTAGTTAATGCAGGGCGGGGGGGAGGGGGCAACAGATGCTTCTTTTGTTCATCTATTTGTCATCCAGCTTACCATCCTCTCACCCTGTCTGTTTAGTGGATATTTATTTAGCACCTTAAATTGGAAGGTCGCTATAACACAGTGGTTAAGTGCAGAGGCTCCGAAGGCTGTGTAGGTTCAAATCCAAAGCTGTGTGAAGAATTTAACTTCTCTATACTCCTGTTTGCCTATCTATAAAATATGGATAGTAATAGTAACTTTGTCATTATTATAACTCATTATTTCATGCAAAAAACAAAAGTTAGTGGTTACTATCACTGCTAAATAGCCACATACACACCTCAGCTCCTCCTCAAGTAAACCTTCCCTGGAAACCTCCTGCCAAAAGTCACATTTCCCTCTGGGCCTAGGTCTATGATACACATCCATAACCGTGCACTTTTTGAATCATTTTTCTCATCATTATAGGTATTTAAGTCCTATACCTCTCCCTTAATTGTAAGCTTCATGAGGATAAGGACCAATTTGATATAGTACGATATGCCTAACAGGCATAGACAGCTAGTTTTTGATAAGTATTTCAGATATAATGATAGACTCACTGACAGATAATTATGCAGCAGTGGTTTCACTGGAGAGCTAGGAAACTTTCTGGTGGCCAAATCTAGGGTTGACAATGGAAAATTTTGAAATAGCAATGTTTCCCTCTGAATCGGCTACATAAATATGGGTGGGCTTCCTACATACATATGGTTGTTCTTGAAGCCTAAGTACAAAATTTTAAAAAGAAACCAGTATTAGTATACTTTTAATAAGAACTAGGTTTTGGAGTGAGAGCATGGATGAAATTAAAACTCCAACGCTTACAAGCTGAATCACCTTCAAAATAATATGAATAGTCTTGTGCTCATTCTTTGCCTATGGATAGAGATAATATCTTCTTCTAGTGCTTTTGAGCACTGCTAGGTAACATATGTAAGAGGCAGTACTCAGTGTATAACTATAGACATTTTGCTGGACAATGCAAATAATTCAAGGAGAAACCATCCATCAGTAAGTGACAAGGCCAGATTTGCAACGCACCCAAGATTTCTACTACAAAACAGCTCTTTACTGCAGCACCCTTTGCCTTTGCTATTGATAGCCAACTACATACAGGTAAATAGTTCATAAAATAATGCCTGAAATAAAATAACACATACCTTGAGCATACTGGCTACAAGACACAACCTCCTGAGGACTTAAGATTGGGGTCTGAGTGTTGTTGGTTAATATACGGATTCTTGCTTCTAACATACCCATAGAAGCAAATGAATAGCAGCTTCCACAATATCCTGGAAATGAAAAAGAAATATAGATATATCCCAAGAGATATCTGATAAATCATACAAAAACCTGAGTGGATATAACGCACTGTATACTGAATACTAATGTTCATAAGGTTCATTACAATATACAGTAGCAGATTCAATAACAAATGCTATGCCTGAGATACATCAGACAGTTTTCTTGGTGATGATGAAAAGGTTTAAGTCTGTAATATTCTAAGCCATCAGACTTAAAAGAAGCTGTGGATGGATACATATGAGCTGAGCTTTTAAATATTTCCAAATATTTATGTGTCCCAAATTCATGTTGAAATCCCAACCCCAAGGTTATAGTTTTAGGAGATAGATGAATGGAATTAGTGGCCTCAGAAGAACCTCCAGAGAGATACCTTAGTTTTTCTATTATGTGAGGCCATAGAAAAAGGCAGTCTATGAGAGCTGGAAGGAAGATCATTACCAGATACTGAGAAACTGCTGTCACCTTGATCTTGAACTTCCTACTTTCTTGAAATATAAGAAACAAATTTCTGTTGCTGAGCAGCCACTGTTTGATATTTTCCTAAATGTAGCAACTTGAACAGACTAAGGCAGGCAGCATTTTTCAAAGTATGTTGGGTGGAACTAACCCGAGGAATGATATGGGGATGGTGGTTATGTTTTGGAGGGCAAGATTTAACATGAGTGGAGGAGACAGACGTAAGACAGGTACATGAGAAAGGTAAAAGAGAAATTATACTTATGAATGTGGCATGTAGGTAGGTAGTCAGAAGACAGAGACAGGCAGAACATAAAAAGTAGTTGGGAAGAAAAGAAGACTACTCATATTTAACACCTGGTTGTTATTTGAAGGACAAAATAAATTTGTTTAAGTATCTGCTAGGAATGTAGTTGTTATTCAAGAAAATGGAAAATATTATGAGATAATTTATATGAATGTTATTTTACATTTTTTTCAAAATATATGGTTAAAAGAAATAGCTATAAGACAATATAACGCATAGAAAACAAAACTGGGATTTTCACTTGTTAGTAGTTTTTGAAAGAAAAGAACACAGAATTATATTACTATTATTTAATATCTATTGTTTCACCTCTTCTCTATTTCACTTCTTTCATTTCTGTAAATGGGCATAACATCTACATGGAGAGATGTTTGTACCAAATCCAAGGTAAATTCAGCTCTACACCAACAGTATATTATTAAATTTATTAATATTAGTTTTGCCAAATTATATGAATGATTTGAATGATGAATATCCCCTATGAATTCCCTTATGAACAGTCAATTATATAATTGAAATTACTTATTCTATGTAAAAGAAGTATCTTTAGTAAATCTCAATTTAATGATTTAACAACTACTTTATTTAGAGTAAAAAGTACTCAAAGGTATTATGCATTCAAAATATAACTAGGGATTTTTTTTCTTATCTTCTTCAGATAATGATTTGTGTCCCTCAGCAAAAAAGGAAAACCAGAACATTCTACACTCAGACACTAACATCCTAAATAAAGTCTATTTGAAATACTTAAATTGTTTACCTCAAAGTAAACTATGCATTTTCTTGAGCATTCAAAGGAAATATGTTTTATTTATCTTGGTGCCTGAAACAATGAAGAAATAATACCTGTTTGTGGAAGAAGGAGTCAAGGGATGAATAAATAGGTACATATACCCAGGAAATAAAGTAAACTAAAAAGAACAGTCAACATTATTTCTACAGTCCCTGTTTCATGTTAAATGCTATTATTCCTGATGTTCTTCAAAATTCTCCCTCTAAAAAAACTCATACTTATCCATATCATATACTCTTTGTTATTGAGGGACTATCTCAATCATGATGATTAGAAGAGAAACTTTTGTAAGGGGGCCCTGAAATTCCATTACTATGCATCCTAACTTCTTGATAATGTGCGACTGAGGCACAGAAGGAATCGATGACCTATCCAAGGTCACACAGCTAATAACAGATGGCAGATGTTGGGAGCCTTATGTCTCCAAGTGCAGAATTAGTGTCCTTTTCAGTTTATAAGTCTAATGACTTTAAGGCACTTTCAGATTTTCTTTCCTGTCATGTTGTCAATGAATAGAAAAAACTTAGACTTCTTCTTTCAAGCCATCCGGAAAATGCATTTAGGGCATCTCTTACAAATGATAGACTGTCAGAGCCCAAGATGAGTGCACAAAGAGCCAAAGTCATTGTTCCCTTCATGAGAAACCAAAGTCTTATACAAACACACAGGCTTACATTCTAGGAGAATTTGGAAAGGGTTCTCCTTTGGTCATCCTGCTTTCTTATCCCATAGCAGCCATGGAAATAATCTTTCTCAGTGTGAATCATTAAGCCCTCATTATCTGACCATCAAGCACTATGGAAAGAATAGGGCATAAGTGTATTTGAGGGTTCAGAATGTTCTTTGTTAACAGAGAAATCACAGGAGTTGGAAAGAAGACAACCTTCTTCAAGCAGAAGGCCAGCTGTCAAAGTCATTAGTGTCTCATTTTAAAAGGAAAAGTCCTTGCTGGGAATGTAGCTCAGTGGTGCCACACCTGCCTCAGAAGTACATGGTCCTGAGTTTGATCCCTGATATGAAGGGGTAGGTGTAATGCCAGGATAGATTCCAAAAGGAACAATATCACCTGGGCGTGAGCTGGGTGTGGTGACACATACGTGTATGATCCCAGAACTCCTGAGAAGACAATAAAGGGGGATCGCCAGTTCTAGGCCAACCTGGTACATAGTGAGACCTAGTTTCAAAAAGGCAAAACAAAAACACTTCACCACAAACAAACAGAAAGGAATATTATCTATTAAGAAGACTGCAATGCAATGAAGAATAAATGAATTTATGTTCTCTTTTTTCTTACTCTTTCCTTTCACTGTGTGACCCAGGGAAAGTCACATGACCTTGGAAATTTTATCTTATGTTTCAGATGGATCAGTTGGCACAGATAATTTAAAACCTCTTCCTTTCTACTCAAACTGTATTTAACACTAAATTTTAACTGGACTAGATTTTAAACTTTAGGAAAACATCTTGCATTTCCTAGTTAATGTGACCCATGAGAGACTCTCCTCTTCTCTTTTACAGACATAACAATCAGTAAAGACAAAGAAGTCCACCTCATCCAGTTTCCTAGCTGTGGTTCCCTCTCACACCTCTAAGTGTGTCTAACAATAAGGTTTGTCCTTAAACCTGTTTTCATGTATAAAAGTAAAAGCTCATTTATCCTTCCAATATTTTTTTTCTTTCATCTTGATTTACTCTTTAGAAGCTGTGCGTTTCCTCAACTCTGGCTAATTCAGAATTCTGAATTATACAGAGCACTGGTAATTTTAAAGTTAGTGGAAATTTCCAAATACTGCACTTGGCAGGAAGAGAAAATAAGTATCATTTCCCAATCTACAGTACAAAAAAACAGAAAGAAAGTCAAAAGAGGAACCTTTTAAATAGTTTCCTCAAGTACCTGATAGAATAGTACAAATGAAGGGCTGATTCTGTTTTGAAATTGCAATTGTTTGTACAAATCATATTTATAACACCCTAAGAATAGGGAGTATTGGAGACAATAATAGCTTTAACCAAGGTACAAGAAAAACAAGGTCAAAGAATTCTGCTTTAGAAAGTTTAATTTCTGTCCCCTAAATTATTGGCTCATACATTTGTTAATCATCTATTTTGAAAAGGTAATAGATTTTAACATTTCTTAACCAGTCCCATTCTCTCACAAAACTTTAAAAATTCTTCATTAAAGAAGTTACCACATGATACTTTAATGTTTTATTTGAAAATCTTGCTAAATTGTAAATCTCTAGGACAATGACTGCATCATATTAGTCTTTATACCCTCTGCCATTATAAAAAAAAATCCTAATTTATATGTTCTATAAACAACAACAGAAGCAACAATATATCTCCAGTAAGTCACATTATAGAGCACTAACAACACGCCAGGCCTTTCATAAAGAAGTTAAAACGATATGCATCATTTACTTACTCCTTCCCAAATAAGCAAAGAAGATTTTGTTCAATGATGGAGTGAATTTTAGTCTTCTTTTAATATTAACCCTTTATTTTCATTTTTTATTCATTTCTCAATCACATCCGAATTTTTGTCATTTGTAATATCAACTGTCCAAAGCCATCTCCAAGAAACAGAAGAATGATTTCAGGACCTGCACTTTCTCTAGAGCTCATGAGTCCTCCAATAACTGGCAGAAAGTCAAAGTGATGACACAGTTGGTGTCAGAGGAAGAACAAGAAACTTGCTGACTGGCTCTATACTCAGAATCCACAAGAACGGGAGCATAAAAGAACAGGTGATGAAAGCTCAGAAGTGGGAGAGGTTGATAACAGCACATTTTCAGGAAAGAGGAAAAATAATTCATCTCTTGGTATTACAAATTTATAAGCCTTCCAAAACACACTAGAGAGTTTCCATAGAGCAAATGCTATGCAACTATATTTTTATAGAAACACATCAGGCATGTGAACGATTCTCTTCAAATTGAATAAAGAAATAAACCTTAGTAAAGGTTAAGTATTCCTTACCCCAAATGCTTAGGACCAGGCATTTTTCAGATTTTAGAGTTTTCGAATTTTGGAATATGTGCACAAAACTTTTACCAACTCAATATCACTAATTAAAAAATCAGAGGGATGGGGATTTAGCTCAGTGGTTCCGCTGCCTGCCTCGCAAGCACAAGGACCAGGAGTTTGATCCTCAGTACAAAAAATAAAAAATAAAATAAAAAAAATTAGAAATCCAAAACCTAAAACTTTCTTGAGATGATACTTTAGAATCATACACATGATTATAATTGTTGACTGAAACTAAGAGAATTTGCTAACAAGTAAAAGTAAAGGAAGTTCAAGCCATATTATATAAATTTATGAAAATAACTGATAAAATTCAATTGTTTGGCAATCCTGAGCTCTGCTTCCAGGCCATTTTTAAGGAACTGGTTTAATACCACTAGGTACATATTCTGATATACAGTAATTAAAATATTCCTATAAGATATTCCTTGGTTCCAAAAACCCAAGAGCATGTATTTTCTGGGCTCATATAATAACTAAAGACCAAATGATGGGGGGAATGGGAGGACAGATGGCAAAGAAGGAGTCCAGCAAACTAACTGCAGATAAAAGGCTAATTTTATTTATTTATTTATTTGTTTATTTATTTTGGAAGGGCCAGATCAACTAGATCTGTGTTTCATTTATTTTTTTATCAAGTTTATTGGTACATTTTAGGTATACAGTACAATTACATTCATTATTGGGATCTTGTACCTTTACATGACAGGTCTTGGTTCTCATTTTTTCCCCTTGTCCCTGCCCTCCCTTCACTCCCTCCTCCCCTCCCCATTTACAAACACTTTATTTCCATCTTTTCATTTTGTCATATTTTTTCTTATCCTATATTACCTTTCCCCTACCCTTCCCACTTTCCCTACACCTTTAGTCCCTTTCTTCCTATTTCACACTCTTAATTATCCCATTAGGATCTTGTGTACTATTATAGTTTTTCACACTAGAGAAACTATTCAGTATTTACACATGTGTGACTTATTTATTTCACTTAAGAGTATATCCTCAATATGTATCCATTTTCCTATGAATGAATCTAATTTCTCATTCTTTATGGCTGAGTAGTATTCCATTTTATAGAAAAACCACATCTTCTTTATCCAGTTTCCAACTGATGGGTAAATGGGCTGTTTCCAAGTTTTAGCTATTACAAACTGTGCCGCTATGAACATGGGTGTGCATATATCACTGTGATATGATTCTTTTAATTCTTTTGGAAAGATACCCAGCAGAGGGATGGCTGGGTCAAATGGAACCTCTAGATTCCAACTCACCCCAAAAAGAATGGCTATTATCAAGAAATCAACCAATAACAAATGTTGGCGGGGTTGTGGGGAGAAAGGAACCCTTCTCCATTGTTGGTGGGAGTGCAGACTGGTGCAACCACTATGGAAATCAATATGGAAATGTCTCAAAAAAAGGCTAATTTTAATTCTGTACAATTCTTTGTTTCCAAAGCAGGCTCTCTACAAGCAGGGCAAAAGAGTTTGACTTCCTTATCAGTCTGGTTGCTGCTAGCAACCTTAAACATATATTAAGAAGGGTACTGAATAAGTGCTGATATTACTCAAGTTGGTCATGGATAGAAGAGTAAGGAATGGAAATTCATAGGGCACACATTTTTCATGTCTTTACTAAAATCAATCACGCCTATTCAATTTCTGTAACCCCCAAAACCAATCTACACAGACTGTTACATAAAAATATTGAATAAATTAATTAAAATTCAGACTTTATTATTACTTACCTTGGTTTCGAACAGGGCTGACAAAATTGATACCATGAACATCTCTCCAGTCCCAAGATTTTGGCAATTGTAAAATCTTTTCCTGCATTTCTGCAGTCAATGGTGCAGGTTTGGGCCTAGGATGGAAACATACATTTGACATCAACAGTCTTTCCTTTGAGGATGATTTTCTATCCTCTAATTCCACAATTTCAACATCGGTCTATTTAGTATCTGTATTCAGGACCACAAAGCACCTACAAGTCCTTGCTCCACAAACATTTTAATGTGTTTATTATACAATGTAGCAATTACACCACTCAGTGGGTTAGTTTTCATTAACCATTTTTTCATTATCCAGTTATTTTCCCTTGCAAAGTGACACTGATTTTGTGTATCACTGATGCAATCTTCCATATGCCTGAATAACTGCACTCTAATATTAACTCTTGACAGATTTTGACCAAGAAAGAAGATAAGAAGATTTGAAAATGGCATATAAAGGAGTACAGGGAAAATGAAGGACTTGCAGAAGTTTGACACGGGAGGCAGTGGGTTGGTTATAAAAGTGAAACTGGCAAAGAAAAACAAAGGTCAAAGTATAAGGTAGGCAGGCTAGCTCCAAAAACGACAGCTAAAATCATTCCATCATTACAGAACTACATATTATAGGATATGTTTGAAAGCAAGATGCACTAAGGAGAGTTGCCTGGGCTTATGAATAAAAAGACGTTATTCCTGGAAATGTAAAAATTATTCTACAACCATCTCTGTGTTTAGACTTTGTACACATACTCATAAACATGAACGTACATGAGTGAGCACACAGCGGTCTAGCTCTAGACTTCTTGGGGTTTCTAAGTCAGCCAAATGCCAGAAATGTCACATCTGTATGCGGCTGCTCCTTGGATCTAAAATTCCTGTTGTTCCTACTTTGTACTCTCAAGAGTTTTTCTGCAACTTCTAATTTTAAAAACTGCTCACGAAGCAGCCTCAATCAACTCGCACCCAAAGAAAACTCATTTTTCCCTCCCTCCTTCTCCCTTTTTCCTCTTTCGTTTGTTAGGCACTATTTTTTTTTTCTTTTCCTTTTTATTTTTATTGGTACAATCTATGTCTATAATACAGTTATATTCATTACTGGGATCCTGTACCTTCACATGACAGGTCTTGGTTCTCATTTTTTCCCTTTGTCCCTGCCCTCCCTTCACCCGCTCCTCCCCTCCCCATTTACACTTTTTTTCCATTTTTTCATTTTCTCATATTTTTTCTTTTCCCTTATTTCCTTGCCCCTACCCTTCCCCCCTTCACTACACCTTTAGCCCTTTTCTTCCTATTTCACACTCTTAATTATCCCATTAGTATCTTGTGCACTATTATAGTTTTTCACACCAGAGAAACTATTCAGTGTTTGTACATGTGTGACTTATTTATTTCACTTAGGAGTATATCCTCATTATGTGTCCATTTTCCTATGACTTTAATGTCTCATTGTTTATGGCTGAGTAGTATTCCATTTAGGGCACTATTTTTATACTGTGGCAAAATTTACTCATTTTTGTTTCTGTAAACTATTTGAATTTCTTACTTTACTTGGTCATACTGCACAATTTTAACTTTTCAGAAGTTATTCAATTGGTTTTTACTTGGCTCCAGTTTACTCAACAGCAAAGGTTTCTTGTGAACTACTTCAGGACCTCTGCACCTACTCCCGAGTGACTTACTCTCTCTCTCTCATAAAGATGACATATGTTGAAACTCTGACACAATGTAAGTGAGACAAAACAAAGACCAAAAAAAAAAAACAACCTAGAATTAATTCAAGAGTAGCATAACCTTTACAATTGTATGGAACAGACTTATTACATAAAGAAACAGCAATAGTTCACTAACATATTTCCTAAGCTAAGGACATTTGTTTAAGTACGTATGATATAGAGATGAACATGAGGTGGTCTTTGTCCATGTGGAAGACAATGTTAACATACACAAAGCATACAAAAATGATTGTAACAGGGCCGGGGATTTAGCTCAATGGGTTCGTGGCCTGCTTTGCAAGGACAAAGACCTGAGTTCAATTCCTGGTACCAAGAAAAGAAAAAAATAAATTAAACAAAAAGATGCAAGCTTCCATTACACCATCAGATTTTATAACAGAACTAATGTATATACATAAATGCTATTGAAAATCTTACAGCCAGACTGTAATATAAATATTTCCATCATCTCTTGATTCAATCTTCTTCTTTTAAACTTTCTATGAAACTTTGTAATAAAAATCAGCCCTTCACAAAGCTAATCTTTCTCTGAAACAAAGGTGGCTGAGTAGACAGACAGCCTAATTAAGAGCAGAAGAATTACTCAGAAACGTGACACCTGGCAAAGGTGCTTTGTCTAAGGCTCAACTCTTTCAGGTAGAAGCCGGTCTCCTAGACTCCAATGCTAAGGAGATACACTGTACTCAGCTTTTTAGAGGCTCCTTTGGATTTCTGTTCTTAAATAGGTCTCAAATGCCTGCTTTAAACAGACACATTAGGACTTCAGTCAGTGAATCCAAGATTGGGGCTATGACAATCTCCCTTCCTCAAATTTGAATAACTAGAATATCTCATGGAGTAGATATTCCCTAGTATGTGCCTTGCGAAATGCCACAGAAAATTATTTTGTAAAAGAGGAAGAAACATGTGAAGATGCTCTTAGTAGGATAAGAAATAATTCCATCCAGTTTCTGCAGATGTAAAGATTACTGATGCATCCATCAGTAGTCTGTTTCTACAATAACTGTTTGAACCATGAACTCCTACAGCTATTAGTGAGTTAACCATTGCAGTTTCTGAAAAGTGAAGAATATTTCAATATACAAAGGTTAAAAGAAACCACTTACATAATTTAATGACTCCGATTTGCTCCCTATCATTTCAGTTCCTTTTCCTTTACTCATTTTAAAATTTTCCTGAAACAACTTATTGTATTACAAGAATATCCTTGGCCCCTTAAATGTTAAAAGACTTGGTTCAAAGCCTTTGCTAGACAGTTTGCTGGTCACAGTTTTGAAAAACAATTTTTAAATTTATAAAAGTTTCTGTTTAGACAAATTCAAAATATTATGACATAATTTCCCAAAAGAAGAAATACATAATGAAGCATGTGAGCTAAAGGTGGGAGATACCACCAATGCCTGAGAGGATTGGAGGTATGTTAATAAATAAGGAGTTTTGCATTTGTTTTGTTGCTGGGCCTTACAACATTGAGATTTTCAGATATCTATGGGTAACAAATTTGACAGTTAACATGGGCAGAATGAGGAATATTTAATGGAAAGGGAGTAGATGAATGAGGTAAGATGCAAAGAAAGTTTTCATAACTTATGTGTCATATTGTTTGAAAGCGGGTCAAGGTAGTGAATATAGTTATAGTCATATTTTAGTGACTTTAAATACCTGGATAAATTTATTCATCAGTCAACCTGCATTCATAGATGAATACAGTAAGATCAAAATGTCACTATTTCATAGAATGGCTAAAAATGAGGACAGGGAGTGGAGAGATCAAAGACAGAAACAGAAATAGGAGGCAGGATGTCAATCCAAGGTAGAGAAGAATGATGCCAAGGCTTAAGCCAGATTGTAGAAAATTGGAAGGAAGTAATAGATATAACAGACACTATAAAAGCAGAATCCAAGAGCAGGCCTTGGAAATAGGAATAGGAATAATATGAATGGGAAAGGAGGTCAAAAATATAAAATGTTTACAGCAAATAAAGTGGTGGACAATACAGGACAGTCAAAATGGGCTTACACGGGAGGATGGGATTCAACACCAATATTCTTACTAGTGAGAAACAGATGTATTTTCTTACCTTGGGATTATCTGATTGTGGCCACCACGTCTCCTAGCCATCTCTTTCAAGGTAAGAGTTTCATATTCTATGTATGTAGTTGCAGTCCAAGACTTCTGGATATCATTGATGGCCTTCACAAAGTTATGATCATATTTGTAGAGCCTATTAGAATATCTGCAACACAGTGATACAGCTTCAGCTACACTTTGTGTCTAAGTGAAAATTAGAACAGTCTTCCTGGAAGGCAAATTGGCAAACATGTACGAGGCAGCCTAAAATAATAATGTCTCCTTTGAAAGTTCAAATTAACTAAGATGTATGTATGATGATATTTAATGAAACACTTTTATACTAGTGAGAGATTGTAAACAACCTAAACGAATCTTGTGGGATAAGGGATTCATCAAATAAAAAGAGAGTCTTCTTTTACTGTACAGTTTATTCAATAAAATTATCTACAGAATTATTCAGTGATATGGAGAGTTCATGCAATATTAATTTTTAAGAAGCTAACCAATAAAGTTTATATAAAATGAATTAATTTTTATAATTATACATATTTATATCTATTTTATAAATACATTCTTAAAATGCCAACCATGGTTCTTTCTAAGTAGCAGCAATGAGAACACCTCTTTTCCTCCATGCGCCAAAGTTCCTACAGCTGGGGATTTAGCTCAGCAGTGATGCCACCTGCCTCGAAAGCATAAGGATAGGAGTTGGATCCCCAGTAAACCCCCCAAAATCATACAGTTCCTACAATTTACCTTCATAATTAGCATAATAAGAAAAAAGAGGAAGACAAGAGAAACTGCAGACAGTTTATATACAGTAAGTCCCTGAATTCAAATGGGTTCCATTCCAGAAGAACATTCGTAACTCAGATTTGTTGGTAATCTAACCAAGTGAGTTTTATATGACATACTTGTGAGAGTTCACAACATGAATGTTCGTAAGTTGGGGTAGTATATATTATAATTACACAATTCAAAAAATATTATATGTGTGTTTTATTTTGTTATTCAAAATGTGATTTTTGAACTAATATCAGCAGTACCTGGAAGCTCTTAAGATTCTACCCAATCCAGACCACACAAAGCAGAATCTGTATTTTAATAAATTCTCAAGGTGATTCACAGTAATATCAAAATTTAAGAAGCATTGATTTATCTGACACCAAATGCTTGCATACAGATGTAAAACACAATTCTGATATAGAAAACATACTTACAAAGGAAAAAAAGAGTTGACTGTACACTTCAAACATTTATCAAAACTATGTGTCAGGCACTAGAAATTATAGAATTCACTGTATTATTCCTATTTAAAAACACTGCATAGTTTGAGTGTGACTCACTATCCAAGACTTCCATGAGCATTCAATTCTACAAAGCAAGACATCTGTAAAGACATCTGTAATAATGTTTTACGCATACTGTGAATTTCTCTTTCTCTTTTAAATCATGTGTTCGTAGAGAAAATATTTAATATAGTCAAGGAAAAGGGGAGCACTGACTATAAGAAAAATGTGTGACCACATTGATAATTTTTTAATGTTGTAACCACAGTTCTTTCCCAACTGTTGCAAATATAAAACCAGAGTGGTAACTTTATTAAACAAATTGTAAGATTGCCTATACTGTATTTCTGACAATACTAACACAATAACAAAAACAAGCTATAGTTATTTCTTTAGGTACAAGAGTAAATTTTAAATTTTAAGTGAAATAGTTCTGGAATATTTTCCAGTGCAAGGAGTCACTTTTTCACTAACTATAAATATTTAAGAGGTATAACTAGCCCTACCTGTGTTGCTTAATAACATCTTGTCAAGAGACAGTCTATATGATTTTTGAGGAAACATCATTTCATAATTAAAGTATGAGTATCGCTGTTGAAGGCCCAGCCACCTTGCCCACGAGCTGGCTATGAAATGGGCAAACATAACTCCATGTTGCCTCCAGTCACAAGTTGAAGCCTCAATGGTCCTATGATACTGTGAAACTGAAGGGTAAGAGTATATCAGCTGAATATATTCTGCTTCTTGGAGAACTGAGTAGTAATAAAAAAGAGAAAGGTTTCACCTGGGGAAAGGACAAATTCTTTGCCTGCTATCTCTGTCCCAGCTAGTATTGTAAGAATTCTCTTCTTTCAGCCCTCATCAACATAAGATCCTCAGGGATCTAAGATCCTTATCAACCTAAAATCCTCATCAACAGAGGACTACTCCAGCCCCCTAAGTCACCTGATACTACCTCCAATCATTGTGTGTACCCAATAAATAATGGCTAGCTTGGGAGTGTCTTGGCCTTTGCCCACTCAGAGGCACTGACCTCCTGGCCTCCCATGTACTATATGATATTATGTCAGTCTCTATTGTCTTTCCTTCTTTAGCCCTTGTGCTTTTCTGGGTGTTTGGAGGACGGATCACCCTCAGGTAACATCTAGTACAGCCTCATATGCTGATATGTGCATCACCACAGTGACAGGATGCCATCAGAGGTCTTAAACACCATGATTTTTTGTGTTTAAGATCCAAGGAGATTTTTTAAAATGTATCCCACTATAGGGTGACAGACCATTAAGAGTTGAAAGAACCTTAAAAGTAACGTAGCTGCGATTGCTCACTTTATGCGTGAAGCAGCATGGCTTCAGAGCACGCCAGTCGGGAGCTTCTTTCCCTAAATGAGACAATGTTGGAAATATCAAATAAAGTACCACAGTACCTAATACGACCTAAATGATAGGGTAGCAAGTAAACCACTTAGTGGGAAATATGCAGCTAAGGGATCAAGTCAAACAAAGCTATTTAAAAACTAAACTCAAGCAAAGGGGTTGAATTAGTCTACAAAGGGGTCAGGACTTTCAGAGCCAAGTGTGATTCACCCCTTTAAGCCCCTGTTTCACTTCTTGCTGCAAGCCATTGTTGCCTGGCTTTCAGTGATTGGTTCACCTACATTTATAATGGTTTTTAGAACTAATATAGAAAAGACAATAATATTTATGGATCTTTCTCTTCAAAACTAAAAAGTCTGAAATTTCTTATGTGGTTCACAGTTACTTAGAGTTAATTTAAGAAAAATGTAAACTGCATGTTATAGGATCAATTTTGTACCTTTACAATACAAGTGGTTGAAGTCTTAACCTCTAGTGTCTCAGCACGTGACTGTGTCTGAAGACAGGGCCTTTAAAGAGGTAATTAAAGTAAAATGGGCTCATCAGGGTCAGCCCTCACTCAGTATGGTGGTGTCCTTAAATGACCCCAGGGAAGGCCAGGTGAGGACACAGAGAGGAGGCAGCTACCATCTTGGCCATCTGCAAGCCAAGGAGAGAGGCCCCAGGAGAAAGGTGACCACCTGATGACTTGGACTTCTAGCCTTCAAACTCATGCTTAAACCACCCAGTCTGTAGTACTTCAATTGCATAAATCCTAAAGACTTAGATTTCAGTTACTTACGGACTTGTTTGAAATGCAGTTACATCTGTCAGTTACATCAGTCAACATATTTGTGCAGTAAAGTTTTATACTACATGGTTTTTGTTTCTAAGCCAAATGAATTCAAGATACCCAAGATAAAAATTTTATAAAAATGAACATTCAAATGTACTCATACATACCACAAAACAAAATTAAATGTATGTTTTACTTGTGACAACTCACTTTTCCAAGTGGCTTTCAAGGTGTGCCATGTTTATATTCACATTTTCAGGACTTTCCACCTTCTTTCCAACAAAACAAGCCCAGTTCCGGCCCAGCACATCATGCACCCACCCCGTCATTGTCTCGTGGCAGTAACTGATTACCTTGCTGCCCTTGGTTTCATACTGTAAAAATGAGAAAAGGAAAGGTCAGATGAAATCTATGTGTGGTCTTCAGACCATTTATCTGGTTCTTTTTTACAGTGCAGAAGAGCCTTTTCATCACTTGCCAACCAAAGAAAAAATTTCACTCCACAGATCACATTTGAAGAATTATTCTGAAAAACAAAGAAATAGAAACAAACTTTTCCTTAGTTAGCATTGCTGCTTATCCAACAAAAATTAGGTAGCAAAATATTTCCATGAATGAAAAGAAAGGAAACTCAGATTTTTAGAGCATTCACTGTATGTTAGCGATTTTATAAAAGTTACTTCATTTAATCTTCACAATAAACATATGGGGGGGAGGGGACAACAAGATCTTTTTACCAAGGAACCAAATGAAGGTTCAGGTCAGAAAGAAACAGTAACTGCTGCTGAAGGCCGGATCTATCCTCAGTCTGTCTATCCATGTTTTTCCAGGCAGAAAAGATTCACATCAAGAAGCTGCAGAATGAATATTAAAATTATTTATAGAAGTAAACAAAATCCTTTATTTTTCTGTCAATATATTAAGACATTTATTATGAATAGAGTGCTTAAGGTAAGCTGATTACTAACTACAGTATTCTCTCTATTAATATGGCCCTTTGTCGTATTTCAGTGTTAACACTGAGAAATAACTATATAATGATAGATCCAGGATTTGAACTCAGATGCTTTATCTCCAGAGCCTAATTATCCTTGTGTAATAACATTGCTTCCTCAGAGATGAGAACATAGAGCGAGGAAGGCAGAAAAAAAATGTAATGCTATACTTCTTGGAGAGACTTTGACATAGGCAATTTCAGTTTCTGACTTAATTTAATGGAACAAACTATTTGTGGAACAGTGGGCAAGATTTTTATTTAGCTTGAGTTCTTTCACCTACAAAACAAGGAAACTAGAAAAACTATCCTCAAATATATGTATAAACACTGAGATTCCATGGCCAAATGGAGATTCATAAACATTTCCTAGAACAGCCAGTTAAGAAGCACTAGGCTCTGGCAGTCATTAAGGGCATTACATCTACTCATCTCTGTCACCACAGTATAAGAGTAGTCAAACATAACAGCAACAGATTCACAGAGAGACCAGTGATGTTACAATGAAACTTTTTATAAAATAAGCAGATTTGTTTTGGCTCCAGGGCTACAGTTTGCAGCTTCCTAATGTAATCTAATGGATGCTATATTACTTGTTTGTACAGGTTGGTAAATTTTTTTCCGTAATAGCCAAATATAAATATTTTAGGCTTGTAGAATAGGCTTCTTTCACAACTATTCAATGCGGACACCACTGTGGTGTAAAAAGCGTGTAGGGAACACATAAATGAATGAGGTGGGCCATGTACTAATAACACTTTGTGCACAAAACCTGGCCTGTAGTTTGCCAACCCCTAGTCTAGAGGAATGAGGGCAGTGACCTGCAGCTTTCAGGTGACCACAGATTGCCATGATCCAATACTCTGCGCTGCTAAGCTGTGATGGTAGGTCAGGGGTATTAATTGCATTTTTTACATAATTAGTTTAAACTTTCAATGAGTTTATCAGGACTTAAACCAAGTTGAGGAACATCCATGTTATGCTATGTAAAATTTTTATTTTTGTAGATCTAAAACAGTCTAATATTAGTGATTTCATATGAAGCAACCTAAACCCCTTAAAATTCAATTATGTGCTTCTCTTTGGCATTGATTCTTAATTAAATTCCCTTCTCTGTAGTACATGGTACCCCAGGTAGGAGTAGGCCAATGCTTCTTGGCACCGCTGCTGTTTTAGAAAGTAGTCTCACAGTGTTTTACGATTTCTTGAGATTTACCTTAGCTATCACCGCCCCCCCCATGATACTGTGGAAGACATTCATTGCAGTATAACAGAAATGTTAAAAATAGAAAATAAACTAAAGAAGTCAAAATGTTCAAGTATAAGTTTTACTAACACAAAGGAATATTATGTAGCACTCTGCTTCATGAGTTCTACAGGAAAGGGGTAAGCAAACTTAGGATGGAGAGATCTACCTGTTTCTGAAGATACAGGTTTATTGGAAAACAGCATGCTCATTTCTTTGTATATCTATGGTTATTTTGTGTTATGGTAAAATGTGTAAACATTTTACAGCTTATGAATAAATCTGAGGTTCATAAAAATAATTATCTTTTCAAGAGACAAAAAAGAGACCTAAGAAAGTGACTGAACTAGAATTTAAAGCCAAGGATTCCTACATCATTCCTACAAGCATCATTCCCAATACCACGCACTGCTTCTTCATATAAAGTATTTAGTCTTCTCAAAAAAAAAAAAAAAAAAAGCTACAGAGCTAAGCAATTACTAAGGCATAAGAAGGAGAGACCCAGAAATTATGCAGCAAAGGGATTAAAACCTAAGGGGCTTCTACTTGTATTATTTAAACTTCACAAAAACATTTTGAGATAACAAGCATTACTTCTCTAATGAAGAAAAAGTGGCTCTGCAACGTTAGAGAGAAGATTCACATATAGGTTCCCAGATTATAAAGGTCATTGCTTCATCTGTTGCATCCTCTAAAAAATGTTCCAGAATATTAATGGGCTCATGAGTCACATCCTGTAGGGGCTGCCCGTACTTTGCATCTAGGAGCCCTCATGGTCCTTTCCCATTGCACTGGCTGGTACTTCAGTCTTTGGATCATTCTTGCCACGGATTTATCAGTATAAGAGAGGGGTAAAGACAACTGTCTCGCTCAGTGGTTTCGCACCTGCCTCACAACCATGAAGGTCCTGAGTTTGATTCCCAGTACCAAAGACAAAACAAAACAAAACAAAAAGCACACTGCCTCAGGCTTGGACTGCAGAGACAGAATCCAGCTCTGCTATTGGCTTCCTGATCCTGAGCAAGACACTCTTCCCATCTGTACTTTCAATTTCCTTAAATATTAAATAGAGTTGATAGCAATTGTCTCTACCTTACAATTTTATTTTCTCACTGAGTTTATTGGTACCCTTTAGGTATACAGTACAGTTACATTCATCAATGGGATCTTGTACCTTTACATGACAGGTCTTGGTTCTCATTTTTTCCCCAAACCCCTGCCTTCCCTTCACCCCCTCCTCCCTTTCTACGTTACAATTTGTATTTTATGCATTAGAACTCATTTAATTTTCACAATAGCCTACTTGTTCTTTCCAAAAAGTCACAAGCATGATGACAACAGAACTTTTTGTTTATTCGTACTTAATAGTCTAGCATTAGGAAGCAACTGTAGAATTAATTTACTTTTTCTGTACTGGATTGAAACCAAGGTATCCTACCACTAAGTTATGTCTCTAACCTTTTTATTTTGAGACAGTATCACACCAACTGGCCCTAATTGGCTTTGAATTTACAATACTCATGTTTTAATCTCCCGAGTAGCTAGGAATTCAGGTATTTGACACCACACCCAGCAGAATGAATTATTGAATAAGAGAATAAGAAAAGCTGAATTACAGAAGACAAAGAAGAAATGCAAAGCCCCACTTCAATACTAATACAAGAAACTGAAAAAATAGTAAATTTATAATTTAAAAAAGTGTGATGTCACAATATCAGAATCCCAAATTATAACTCATAAAATTAATTCAGAAATGTCAATTTCCTCTGCACACCTACTTTTCTAACTGTAAACTTACTTTGATTTAGAAGTTCCAAAAAGTTTCCTTAGAGCTTCCTAATTGCACATCCTTATATATCTGTGGTTGTATATAAAACCAAATAAGGTAAATAATTCTTAATAGAGACACATTCCTTATTTATATATTTAATCTTTCAAAAAATCACTTCTCTTTTGTTGTTATAATTAAAATAGTGTAAATGTGCTAAAATGTTTCACTTTTGAATGTTCATGGAAATTTCTTTTTAAAATTTTATTTTAAACTACTGTTTTCATAATCAAAAGTAATCTGGTCTTTTTTTAGAACCTAAAATTACCTTATAAAAAGCAGAACACGGTTACAAAAACAGATAGAACAGGGCTGTTCAGTGCAACAAACTTAGTAGAAAAGAGGCATTTCTTAGTTCATAAGCCACGTACCTAATACTGTAACTTGAGAGACCACCCCCTGTACTTCTATTATTTTCTTGAATATTCTTGAGATAGCTGTCATTTTCCTATTATAAAATCGTGATTTTTGACATTAGTATAAATTAAGATGATGAAGCTTTTGATTATGCTATCCAACTGTAAATGCAGTCACTTTTTTCCCCAAAAGAATTTTCACTTATATAAACACTGATTTCTGAAGACTGCTTTGAACAGATGAGGCAATTTGTTTCCATTCATTTATGCCAATTTCTACAAAACACATAATATCCTAAATTTTGAAGAACTTCAAAGCCTAGCACTTAAAAGTCAGAAAACTATGATGATTCAGTAACGATTCATGTACTTCTTCAAAATTACCATTAAATTGCCAAACACTCTCAAAATCCCCTTTCTTAAATTTCCCACTCACTTTTTCAACAGTTCAATTAGAATTACCTAGAAATATTAACCAATTGGAAAGCAATATCTTGGGAAACTTCAGAAGTTAAGTTATTCATTCTAGAACTCTTACTTAGCCTATGGGTTTTTGATACTCAGGAGCCTGATTGAAAAAGAAAAGAAAATCACTGAGGTTTCTTTCTGCTATTTCTCAGGCAAATGTTATACTTAGAAAATATTGAAATACTTATTTTACATGACACACAGGCTAAGAGACAAGCACAGTTCAGAGAAAAGGGTCCAGTTCTGCCACTTATTTCTGCAGTCTATTGTAAGCCCCAGTTTCTACTTCTGATATAGGAATAATATCCATGACAGATACTACTTCACTGGACTACTATAAAGAATAAAGATGATTTTGAAGTTTGAAAAGTTATAAAACACTGGACAAGTAACAATTATAAACACTGCTACCTTTTGCCATGGTGAAGATAAAGCTAAGACTTTATACACGTCTTCAAATAATGTATATTCTACTCTAAAATGTCAACTCAGCAGTTGATACTGGGTTCTATCAGTAGCACTGTGGTTTTCAAAATGAGATGAATAGATGATCAGTTGAATATTGAAAAGTAACATAATTTTTGTTTATGTTTGTAATATACAAATAATGTTGATATGTTTCCACTGTTATTTAGTGCCGATATCTTCAGCAGTTCCACGATCAGGGGTTCAACTGGAATGTAGAGTGTGCTAGTTAAGTACCTGTGAAATGGGTAGGACACAGCATATTACCTTTTACATGTGCCCACTTTAACTGGCCAAAACATCTTAGCTGTTTTATTCAAGCTACTTCTCATAAAATAAAGATGTGACCTAAGACACAAAGAAACCAAGATCAGGGCTGGGGATTTAGCTCAGTGGCACTGTACCTGTCTTGCAAGCACAAGGTCCTGAGTTCAATCCCCAGTACTGGAAAAAAGAAGAGAGGAGAGAGAAAAGAGAGGAGAGAGGAGAGAGAGAGGGGAGG